CCCCCCTTCCCTCCCCCCTTCCCTCCCCCCTTCCCTTCCGACGGTCGTTCCTGATCGACGAAGGATTGCCAGGCACGCGGGCATCGGAGTCTGAACCGAACCGGGTTTTGCAGAAAAAAAAGATTCCAGGAGATGTCGTTGCCCATCATGAGAAAAAAATAAAAAAAAAACCTGGATTGTCCAGCGGTCAGCATTCATCAGAATCCTTGTTGAAGAACTGCTGCCCAGTTTGGGGGAGAAACAAAAAAAAAAGAATCCCAACTCCGGGATGACGTGCACATTCCAGAGGGATCCACTTTGACCTCACTTCTGCCGGAGGTCCATCATTGCACAATCCCTTTTCCTGCTGCTGCTGCTGCTGCTGCAACAAAAGAGAGGGTAAAATAACTGGGAGAGACAGGTTTCAGAAAATCAGACAAAACTCCGATGTGTTGGTCTGAAGCGATTGCGCCTCTGCGCCAAGAAACGCATTGGATGCAGTTGTTCTTGCAGTTGTTGATGCTAATATTGTGGAGTCCTAGGTTCCAGGATCGAAGAAAAGTAGCTCACAGGCCGCCAACAAAAAAAAAAAAAACAATCGACCATCAACAAGTCAGGTAGGAATCCAATTCCGCGGGCGGCGTGCGGAAAGCTAGATACGCTCGCCATTCGAACGTTCGGCTAAAATCCTCATACCTTGGGAGACGCATTGTTTTCCGACGAGGATCTGCAGCCGCAGAGGTGGTCCGATTGATGAGACCGACCACCTGTCAACAGCCCAGTCAGCACAAAATCTCCCGATAGTTGGTTGCCCTGTCGGCAATTCTTCACCTTGCCAGTTGCAGGTATTCGTTTGCTTTGCATAACGCCATACTAAAAACGCCATTTCGCACATCAATGGCCGTCAGTTTTTTGGTGGCTCATAGTCTCGCCCCCAATTGTAGGATAAGCTTCTGGGTGATAGACCCTGATTGAAGGCCTCGAGGATAGCATTTCTTCCTATTGAGGAAAGTCAATCAATTATGGAGTAAATACCGGTAAGGTGGTGGGTACAACAGCAGTGGACACAGCACCATGGACCTCTGTAAATGTTTTTCTGCAGAAATCATCAACATCTCTACCACAACACATGAGTGTATACACGATGATACACTTACTCCGGAGGAATTCCGATCGAGAGATACTACACCACTACAAATCCCACACCCCAGAAGAAACGCGATGGCATACTCAAGTCCATAGTGATAGGACCCCCCCAAGATCTAAGAAACAACCCTCTGGAAACAAACCGTACAGACGCCCTGCCCTTCCCTGCCCCCGAACCGAAACCTGGGATACTCGACCCTGCCCCAGACCACCAACCTATCCTTCCGCCCATCGCCCTCACCACCGTCACCACCGTCACCACCCTCCGAGATAGCAGCAGCAGCATCAGAAGCAGAAGCAGTAAACCACTCCACCAACTCCTCCTCAGTCCAATTACAACTCGTGACCACAAGAAACCCGCCGGGACGAACCAACCCCCGCGCAATCCCGGGGTAGCGTTCACAGACGCGCCTCTGCACCATCTTTCCCCGCTTCCTCTCTTCGCCTTCCCCCTGCCCCTGCCCCTGCCCCTGCCCCTGCCCCGAAGAACCCGACACCACCTCCGCCGACAAAGAAACCGCATCAAACGTCCCCTTATCCAAGACGATATCAAACCCGCGCTGCTCGTAGGGGAACCACCCCAACCCATCAGCGACCACACTAGCCTCACCCTCAGAAGCAGAGAGGATATCCCACTCCTCAAACCGAATCTCCGGCCCCTCCCCCTTTGCCCCTGTGCCGTGCGCCTCCCCCTCCCCCTCATCCTCATCCCCAGAATCATCAGAATCCGAAAGATAAGCCCGATGGATCCGCAACGCCTGCAACCGGCGCGCGAGCTCCACGCTCTGCGCCGAGTAATCCACGCCGACTAGCTCGCCCCGAAAACCCCCGCGTTTCCGTAACAGCGCCAGCATGCTGCCGTTGCCGGTGCCCAGGTCGAGGATGGAGGGTTGGTGCGGCGGCAACTGTTGCTGCCCACGCCCAGGAAGCGTGTTGCACGGCGCGAGGGGAAAGGCCTCGTCGGTGAGGAAATCCAGGACCTTTTCGGGGGCGTTGTGTTCGGAGAACCAGGAGGTGCCGGGGTCGGAGTCGTCGTCTACTTCATCGTCGTCGTCGGTTTCCTCGTCGGAGGAGGAGAGGGCTTGGGTCTGGGTCTGGGTCTGGGTGGGTTTGTTGGTCGAGGAAGACGACGCGACGGCCGGAGCGGGTTGTTTGGTGGAGAGGTGCGAGAGGGTTCGCGCGTAGTAGGTTTCCCAGCTTTGTTTATTGAGTTAGTCTTAGTTCACATTCATACAAAGGAAGCAGGTAGGTGGTGTTAGGTTGCGGAGAGGGACAGGAAAAAAATCTTGGGAGGGGTAGCGGGGTAGATGCCGTACGTACTAGTCCTTGGTGCCGAGCTCACTCGGTTCTAAATATGTGGGATGTTGGTCGGCCATGGTGGAATTGTGCGGACTTTTTTCCGTTGGCAATTGTCAATGGCCTTGTTGGTGGTGTGGTTGATCCTGAGTGGAAAATGGCTGGATGGAGGGTCGACAAAAAATTGCCTTGGTCTGGGCTCTGTAAACTTCTGGAGTTCTCCCCGGATCCCGAGACTGATCCGTGCGCTAGCACTAACTGTAGACGGCACTGTACTACTTCTTGAACACTACACTACATCTGTACCCCTACAACCAACAACCAACCCTAACATCTTCTCTCGCTACAATGCGGATGTCACATTTCACCAATAAACCAATAAGCCTAGGGTATCCGCAGCTGTATGCAGTGACCATAAAGAAATGAGAATAGTATTACAAGTTATCAGGCACGACACGATTCCTCGCCGCCCTTTATCTTTTATAACACCACGACGCCGCTGGTCCAGAGAGCATGCACAATGTTGAGCCCACGGCCTTCAATGCAAATGTGGACCCATGTCCAGGATAGAGAAATGAATGAAATAACGACCGGAGAGCCCGCTTTGGTCATCAACTCATCAATTGGATGAAACAGGTAATGAATGTGGATGGGAAGGAAAGAAAGGAACGTAGATGCCACAACGGCTAGAGTGAAGAGGTGAAGGAATGTTGACCGAACGGTCGGGTCAGAATGAAGTGGTTATAGTCATGGAATCATTTCGCAGACCGACGCCCAATGGCCAGTCCAGTCGAAGACATTATGGCAGAATTACAGAAATTCATCAATATTTCTCATAATCAACCTCTCATTCCCGGGTGGCGGAGACCGCGGATCTGCTATCCGTGACCGGAACCGCAGTCCGTTGAGGCCATCATCCTCAAGGACATCGGAAACCGATCGCGAGATAGGCGCGGCCATGAAGTCCGTCGTCCTCGGTGAGAAGAGAGCGTTGGATTCCTCAGACCCTTCCCGCACGAACATGTCGGTTTTAGCCAACGAGCACGGCCCGGCTTCGGCGTGCCATGCGGGTGGTGCCGATTTGGCAGGTGTGATATCACTTGTCAACCCGGTATGAAAGCTCTGACGTAGAGGCAATGGCCGGGGTGAGATGCTTCGTTTGTGCGAAAGAGACTTGGTAAATCCAAGACTCTCAATTGACACGGGCGTGGTCTGATTGGTGGAGGGCACCGACAAAGAGCTCATCGATGCTTGCGACATCGCATTGGACGAATGGGGTTCGACATCGGAGTATACACTCTCGTTGCCAGGAATACAGGTCTCGCCCGACTCTCGCTTATCGGCTCGTGAGCGCCGCTGTTCGGTGAGCTTTGGTGAGCTTTCGCCGAACCACTCTTCAGTGGCGGCTTTGGACAGGCCCCCACGGAGGAGGCGGGAGCGGAAATCCGTCAGCTGATAAATGAGACTCATGTTAGGGCCAACCCAGCGGCTGCGCTCCTTGACAATCTCGTACATCGAGTTGAAATCCAAGTCTCGGTTCTTGAAAAGACCGTAGGCGATCACCAACGAGGCTGATCGGCTGGCGCCCAGCTGGCAATGCACAAGGACTTTCTTTCCATCTGCGATGCGGGAGTCAATCAGCTCGCATAGTGGGTATAGATCCTCCAGGATCTCCGAGTTATGATCCCAGCCGACGTGGACATATTCCGGTCCGGGTGCTTCATTTTTCGGAGTCGCCGGCAGCGACGCCCTACTTGGGGGGTATTCAAATGCGGATTTGAATGATGTTTCTGAGGCGGCTGTCCATGGCTCCGCAATGGATAGGCGCTTGGGACTGATGGACCCATTGCGCAGCGCGCTCACCACAGTTTCGGTGCTGGTGCTGGCCTTAGTAAACGGGTTTGCGACTTCCTTGGCCACATTCACAACAACATCAAATTCGGATGCTTCTTGCGCAGTCGGTTCTAAGTAGAGGAAAACGCCTGAGTCGTAAATCTGAATGGGCCCATTGGGATAGCCTCGCTCGCTACGCCGCGTCGATTCTCGGGAGTCCAGATGATCATCCTCCTCCTTCAGCTCATGCAACACCCCGCCAGAAGCGGAATCCTCATCTTCTACAGTCTGTAGGAGTGACAAGTTGCTCTCCGACGTAGCCGAGGGTCTCCGGGCACCATGATGCGTCATGGGCCGAGGTAGCTGCATGCCACCCTTGGGACCGAAAGAAGGAGAAAAGACAGAGGTCAGGGAAGGCGAAGATTCGGTATGGCGCAATGAGTGCGGGGTGGGAGGAACCAGCTCAGTGATGTTGTTGGAAAATGACCTGTCGAATCCAGGCGTGCGGATGGTCAAGTTTGCTGGTTTGCGGCGCATACCCTTCAAAGGCACGTGCACGGGAGACGGGGGAGCGGAGAGATGGTGTGAGGTCCCTTCGACCATAGATGCTGTTGCGATTGGTGGGCGCGACTGGGATGGTGGCGGCATCCTCAGTGAGAGGTTTTTGAGGTTTCGTGCCCGCCTGCCTGGAGAATCGGGCCGTGGAAGACTAGCGCCATCTGAAACTGGTTGGGAAAGGCTGTTAGTCGACGAAGACTGGCTTTCGAAGTTTCGCGCCGGGGGCATGGTGAATTTGTTGTTGAACGCCAACGGCATGGACGAGGGAGATTCGGGAGAGGAGCTGGGAGATGTATCCGCCACAGATGGCGAGTCGAACGTTGAGATGGTAGTAGTGGGCGAAGAGTCGGCGGAACCTGATGTCACGGAGGAAATACTCGCACGATGTTGGAAAGGAAAGGGACGGCGGGTTGAGGTATTGATGGTGACATTGGTGGGCAGACGGAGAGGTTTGAGTGCTGTGTTCCGCGCCTCCTTCTCGGGGAAATCAAGCGTCCGCCCGCCAAAAACTGACATGAAGGAGGGAAACGAGTCCGGGAGTGTTGGAGCGCTGGTCTGCACCGGCATGGTTGTTTCTGAGGTTGGTGAAATACACCTACGTTTGAAAGGGATCGTTGCCCTTTCCGGATCGCAGCTGTAGTGAAGAGTGGGCGCGAAGACTGGGGCACAGTTGTTGTGACCAGCTCCAAGAAAACAAGGTAGAGTTGCACTTGCTACCAGCGCAAATGACCTTTTGTTTAGACAATCAGCTTCCATGTTTCAGCGTCAGTTGTTGGTTTTCGGCAGTAGAAGCAAGCACAGCTGCAAGGAGAGTGAAACCGGTTCGAGGATCGGCCAGCTTCACGAAATGAAAACAACAGAGCTAGTAAGGTCTGTGGAAGCAACAAAGGAGAGAACAGGATCGCATATGCAAGCAGAAGCAGAGATTCGCAGTTGATGTCCTAAATGGAGTCCGAGATCAGGAACATACCAAGGAATGCTGCAAGAGAAGGATATCCTCTTGGGACCAGTCAGTAAAGTTGTTGAGGTGAAGGATTGGAAATTGAGAGATCTCAAATCAGAAGCAGCGACCAGGACATGAAGTTGGAATGAAGGAGAGAAACAGAAGCTTTAGGTATAGTTCTTCATGAAAGAGATTTGGAAGTAAGTGAAAATGCGACTAGGGTTTGGGGAGGGAGAATTGCCGCCCGGGGAGAGTAATAAAGTGGGCAGTCGTTCCTCCGGGGAATGACGACAGAAAACGTGGGTGGGATTGCTCTCAGTCGCAAACGACTGCCCACCACCACTCAAAGGAACGGCACGGACAAGTCGCAATGCCAGGCAGGCAGGTGGAAAGGGTCCCTGCGTCAAGGGAAGAGGGAGGGGTGTGGGAACTGGGAGAGGGGGAGGGGGGGGGGGTTTGTTCAACAAGAGGGGGAAAAGAAGAAGAAAGAACAGAAGGGAGGAAGGAAGTATGTAAGAAGAGGAGATTCGGAGGGAGAAGGAAGAAGGGAAAAAATGAGTGTGAGAGCGAGTAATCGGAGAGCGACAGAGTGAGAAACAAGCCTCTGGGCTCGATGTACTCCGACCGTCTGTCTCAGCAAGACTTGTTGGCACAGAGCAAATTAAAATATCGAAAAAATAATGATAATATGGAATAATCAAAATGAAGGACTAAGAATAGCGATTCATTTGGGAAAGGGCGACGAGCGAATAAGAGAGAGAGAGGGGCGAGTAAAGTGAAAGTGAGTGCAGTAAGTGAGTGAGCGAGCGAGTGAGTGAATGGGCGAGTGGAGATCCAACCGGCCGTGTGTTGCTGACAGCACGCCAATCAGTGGTAATGACGAGGAAGTGGAGAAGATGTTCTGCGTTCTTCCTGAGCTTCCCATGGGCTGCAGCTCTAAATTTAGCCGCCCGGGTTGGTTCTCTCGCGAAGGAATGTGCATATCATGGGCGCCAACTTCTGCCTCTTCCCCCCTCCCCAACAACCACCCCGAAAGTGGCATATCTTGGCCCCGAATGTTGGGTTTGAATGTGAAGAAGAGAGAGGGGAAGAAGAGAAAGGGAAAGAAAAAGAAAAAGCAAAGAAATTCAGAGACTCATCTCTCAAATATTGAACAGGAGTTGAAGGGGAAAAGAGAGAGAGAGAGGGGGGGGGGAAGAAGCATCCCTAAAGGGAACAGACAGATTGTGGAATGCCTCAATCCCATAGTCCGTTGCAATAGTGACACTGGCATCTCACTTTGCCGGGCACAACCTCTTGAACCAACCAACCAACCAACCCTTTTTAGGTTGGAGCTCCAGGTCTGGCCTTTTCCCCTTTGGTCCTCCCCTCTCATACCCTTTCGGGTCTCCATCATAGAGTCTCATGCCAGGCAGAGGGTAGTGATGGTGCAAGTGTCAAATCCAATAAGAGAATTGAGACGGAGAGAAGGAAAAAGAAAAAAAAACAATAACAAAAAAGACGACCAGGAGAAAAGTCAAATGGCATTCCCCACAAAAGGGTACCGTGGGCGAGGCGGATATAGAATGATTGGTGGGCAAAGCAGAGCATCGAAGAGAAAGCAAAGGGAGAGAGGGAGAGAGGGGCAGGGCATAGAATGGACGGAGCTAGTAGTCCACACTCCACGGGAGAGACATCAGGCAAAGAAAAAAGCATGAAACGATAAACCAGAACACTAGATCAAAATAACTCATACACAAGACATAACAACGTACCTATCAAGCTGCTTCCTTCTCCTGGGAAGTAATAGAAAAGAACCCCTTGGATCTTTGACAGGTGCCAGGCCAGGCTGGTGATGGTCAGGTCCGTCCGGATCTATACCACCTCAGGGCAATACTAGGTCCGGGCTGCGATGTTCGTTGCACAGCAGCTGTCGCTTGAAGAAGTCGAACGCAAACAAGCAAGCCCGGAAAATGCAATGACACTGAGATTGCAGACAGGAAAACAAGAGAAGTCAAGTCAAGTCAAGTTGAGGAAGAAAAAGAAGATTCAAGAAGACTTCCAGAAGTCACACAGAGATAGGTCTGTCTGCTCAACCCACGAGCAGGTCGTTAATAATAATAGTAATAGTAATAGTAAATGCGCCAAATCCAAAGAGACGGTATCCCAGCACCGGTTGCACAAGATCAATTCCGTATTGGGGAGAGAAGGGGAGAGATTGACCCGCTTCAATGGGCGTGCACGGTTCTCGCAAGAAAGTAAAAAGAAGATGAGTTTGCTTGTTGGGTTGAAGAAGGGTTGGTTTCTTTCGGGTCAAGCCAGCTTGAGAAGAAATCCAGGTTGTCAACTTTCTCGACTAACCTAACTGAACTGTCACCGGGTAAGCACACGGATGATCCCCTCCTTCAACCAGGAGACACAACTGGAGAGAAGAAGACAAGCAAAGAGAAATAGAGTAACTAAAGAGCCGGTCGGGAGGGGAGGGGAGGCATGAATCGGTTTTTCACTACGTAGATGCGGAGGGCGATTCAGCAGGGACCTCTCTCTGGCGCCGAGGCTTGGAAAAATTGGCAGCGGCTCTCTGGGCCCGTAGCAAAGGTGAAACGCAGAGGCTGACGGACTGGGGCTAGTGCCAATTCCGCTAGTCTCTCTCTGCCCGTCCGTCTCCCCCTCAGGGCTCCATCCATTTCAGGTCCCAAGCAAGTTTCCCCTGGAAACGGTGGGCCGTCCGGTCCAGGCAGTGGGCCAGGAATAACTTGCCCGAGTCAGGGGAGTCAGGAACGAGCATCTTGTCGTCGCTAAGACACAGCACACATTTTTTTTTTTTGGTTTTGGTTTTGCATGATCTGACGATTTCCCCTGGACGTCTCATCCATGAAGAAAAAAAAGAAGAAGAAACAAAAAACCCATGGTGACTACGGAGTACCGTCCCAGACCCTTCGGAACTGTTTCAGCATGGAAGGTTGGGAAAGTTGAGACAGCAAGGCATGAAAGTGGCCGTGGCACATTGCAGCTGAAACAACACCCTGAGAGGGCGCGCGCTAAGCCAATCCAATGAGAGGCGGCAGAAAAGAAGTTCGGCCGGGTTTGAAACAAACCAACCAATGCTAAGCCACTAGTTCCATCGCCCATCACGTGTGCAACATCGCCTGTCACAGGCAGGGGAATAAGGAGGGGAACCGAAGAGCAAGAACGAGAAAAAAAGCGCCAAATCATCTTCCTTCGTTCCTTGTATCGTCGAGATCGGCTATACTGGGGATGATTGGCTCTGGTCAAGGGACGCCTGGTCGGTTATGCTTCAGATATATCTACATATCTCCATATCTACACAGACAATTCCGAGGACGATGATCGTTCGGCGCTGGTTGACCCCATTCTCTTGATAGCACAATCCTTTGCAAATGCTGTGTACATTGGTATGGTACACAGTGAGTGTCTCACTAGCCTCCACATCCTTGATATCGCTCGGCACTTGATGCTGCTTGTCCCCGCAACTCGAAACCTGAGATAGCTAGCAATATCGACAAAAGGCTTTGCACTCCTGTCACAATCGAGACACACCGGGTAACTGATGACCTGCTACGTCACAGATTCTGGACGCACCATAGGTAGAGCTCCGACTTTCTGGCATGACAAGAAACTCGAGAACCAGTTTCTGCTGCCATATTGCATCCATGATCTGCATCTGACGCGATCGGCTCATGGCCACAGATCGTCGTCGGTCGGCTCTCCAGGACTGATGTGCGTTGCTGCACTGCGTCAGCTTTATCATCCCGCGCAAATCCTCTTGACCGCAACCTCCTGTCTTCCCCACGGTCTGCAGTATGTGTAGCACACTTAGGTCGTCCCTCACCAGCCTTTCGTGCTGACTCGTTGCCATCACTCAACATCATTCCGTCCAATATCCGGTGCCTGGATCGATGTTACGGATTGAGAGAGATTTGATGAGACCAGACCCCTCTGCGCCCGATTCCACGTGGCACAAAACGTCTATCTGAAACTATGGGGCCAGGAAAATGCCATGGCTCAGAACAGAGAACCACTTCAACTTGGACCGCCCGTTCGGCTTCACGTCGGTGATTAATGTGGGGGGGCGATTTCGCGGACTGCGGGTTGCTGAGCCCGGCCATGCTCCTTTAACCTCAATTGACCCGTTGTGCCATTTTTCTCTTTTGTGAGGACGAGGCTTCGGTAATCAGCCGACAGTGTGCCCAGATGACAATTTTTGCTTGGAATCTCGAAAGCATTTCTACTGATCTTGCTAATGCTCTTAGTTGATGGTGTTTCGTACCGGGACGGTCTGGTGCCTGGACCCTAAGAAGCTATGACTCGCTAAAGGTTCGAAACGCTGCCGTTGTCTAAATGCCAATGGTCTCTACGTAACATGTTGGTCTCCAAAAACCCCCCCAGATCAATTCGTGCAATCATGCTCAACTCGACTGTTGGACTAAGCGTTTCCAACCAACACGCAAGACTATCCCGTCTCCTGCAACAGGATTTCCAAAGGCTGAGCACTGTTGCAGTCTCAGCTGTAGCCTAGCAACCAAGCGACCAGATTTGAAGGATTACACGCGCCACCCATCTATCATAGGCAGCGATCTGAATAGCAGCGCTCGACACGAGACTTAAGCAAAGCCTCCCGCTGCCGTCAGTACCCATTCACATAGTGTCTTCGCTAGCGTCGGTCCGATTTTTGGCGGCTTGCGTGACGGCGCCCCAATCGAGCTTCCCCAACCTTAAGTCAGATCGGATCCGAGCCATATACTGACTGATCTCTAGACGAAACACCCGAGCATCAATAGTCCGGAGGCTAACGCAAAGCTCATCTCCCATTTCATGAGGCTCTATTCGCCGAAAGGAAAGCTCTTTCTTGTCTGTGCTGAGCATCACTGGCTATTATAAAGTAGCAGGGAGCTATCCTGTGGCATAATCGTAGAAATTGGATCCCTGGACCCCGGGCCTGGACTCAAATCGGCCGGAAGACACAGAGGATTTCCGGGCAATACGAAGGCTGCCAAGTGCACGATGAAGGTCCCTGGTCTGAAAGATACGTCGGAGGATAGCTGAGACAATCGTCGGCAGCTGCCTGTTATCCGGACCTTGCGCCATGTCACGGTTCTACCACCTGCGCCGAAGTATGAGTAGAATCCTGAAGGCCGTGATATCATCTTATCGCTAGTGATGTATTACTGAGTCACTTTGCATAGTCTTGATAATTGATAAAGATAACGAGAGTATCGAGCCGAAGGCAACGATCTTCCCCGTTATGAATAAATATACTTTCGTAATGCTTGCATGACTGTTGACCTTCGAAGCACCCTCATTGTATGTAAGCTGCATATGACGGCCTCCCCAGATTTTGCATATCATCTGGGGCAATTCCAGTTTCTTTCAAGGTTGTTCCCAAGGAACGTCGACCAGTTACCTGGCTCTGTGCTCACCTTCCCAGTTGACGGGGCTGACACTGCTGGGAACCAAGGTTTGACCACTCCGAACCATGGTTCTAAAAGCCCCTGGACGTTGCTAGAGAAACTCACGTCGAGATTGATAATCTGTAGTAACAACAACGGTGTCTGCAGAAACTGCTGCACAGATTCCTTTTCCCTGAGTAACCTCCCTGGAGAGTCAGCCCTCTTACACCAGGCTGCATGCTGACCAGCCAAGGCAGATGAAACCGGGAGAAATCGTCTCAACCCGCTTGGTCGGACACGGGGTAAATGATATCACCAATTTTCATCTCTTTTGATTGTTTGGTTTGATAAACAGGCAGTTGGTCATGATATCCTTCCCTCTATTCACTCGATCATGATCGAGATGTAAATATCCGAACCATTGAGGGGAACGTACAGACTGGGTCCAGCCAGCCAGCCAACCAGTGAATCAGTTGTATTCCAAGCAGTTGCTGTCGGCCAGCCACCAGACCACAGACAGACAGACACGCACTCAACTCACTCACTTACTCGGTCACACAACTTGTCCCGTCCTTCATTTCCCTTCTTTTCCCTTGCCCTCCTCCCTCTCCCAGGCCCCATTCAGCCCTCGTGGTGTTTGGTCTATTTATTTCTTCTCGGCTGCTATTGCGTTTGTTCCCCTTGAGCCGCAGGACTAGTTCATTAGTTTATTATTAGTAGTTGTTGTACTCCGTAATACGCGAAGAGATCGATGTCGCAGCAGACTTTTCTCTTCTGATCATCATTCGGTCCACCACAACCGATAAATCATATTGTATTTTGGTCGTTCGTAATCAGTGTGAGATTAGAAGAAAAAAATTGCTTGTTTTGTTCTTTTCCTTTTCTTACTTTTCCTTTCCTAATTTTTTTCTCTCGTTCCGCCTGCTTTTGGTTAGGAGAGATTCCGATCTTTGCAGATACATCTCTCTCTCTCTCTCTCTCTCTCTCTCGCCCAGTCAACTGATCAGCAGATCGATCTGATTGATCAACGAGAATGCGTGTGGATGCCTGACCACCACCAGTTGCAGAACTGCAGATGTCCCCAGACGCATCCACGGCTGCTGGCAATGCAGCCTCTCCTCTCCTCCCCTCTTCTTCCTCCTCCTCCTCTTCCTCTTTCTCCTCACTCCCAGCAGACCAGCAACATCCCAACACTCGTCGACGACGAAAGACCGAATCCGCGGTGAACCAGCCACATCTCCATGTACATGTACCGCATCAGGACCCGCATGAGTCCCTCTGTCGCCGTTCCATTGTCAATCGTGCCAGGACCATTACCTTCAGTGCCGGATCGAACCCACGTCAGAGCGAAGGTCCGTCCGTGACGAGGTCGAAACCAGGAATGCGCCCGACAGGTGTAGGTGTAGGTGTAATGATGGCGGCGGAAGGCCGTGAGGCGGGCAGAGCAACCGCGCTAAAGACAGCGACTCCCGCCGCCGGCAGCTGCGACAACAACGACTACTATTCCCCTTCAGCTCGTCCCACTGTACCTCGAACCACCACCACCACAACAACCTCAACAATTGTTTCACCCACGTCTTCTTCCTCCCATTCTTCCTCATCGGCCGCCTTTGCTGCTGCTTCGCATACCTCTTCTCCCTCCGCTGTTCCTCGTCCCCCTCAGAGCCGTTTCAGCTTTGAATACAAGTATCCTCTTCGCAAACGAGCTCTGACATCGTCGCACACCAGCGCCGCCAACGCTTCCGTCCAGAACGGCGACGACACGCATCCGGGCCCAGACCCGACTCCGACCCCCCAACAACGCACCATCCTGTATGACAGACCCCGGCGGTCAGTCCCCAACTTCCATTTGTCCCAAGTTCGCGATCCAGCGGGGTTTGGCTATCGACCAACATCACCTCGACGGGCCGTAGAAAACGAACCCGACTCTGCGCCACCCCTTGACGCTCCCTCGACGGTTCGCGCGACGAATCCAAATGCACCCAAGCGTCGAAAATCCTCTCTTTATGATCAGCAGTCGATTCCAGACGTGAACGATAGAATGTCCGCCTCCTCGGTGGTTTATGCTCAGGGGCGAACGCCGGCTGACGAGCGCAGTCGCGGTGTCGATGGGTTCGACCGATACAGTCAGTCAGGAGACGGCAACAAGACGCCGGTCGCAGATGATACCCGCGCCAAAAACGAGGATATTTTTCTAAACATTGCGAGATCGGATTCTGGTCGTCGCGATTCGTTCGGGCGATCAGAGCTTCGACGGGTGAGTCGGAGGCTCTGAGCTATTTTGCTGTGCTTTTCATTTAGTGATTGTGGGAATCTTGGAGCTAATTTTCGTCGGATCCCGGCACTTACAGTCGCGATTCAGGATGTCTGGTAGTGGACTTCGTTCATCAACCTCTCGTGTTTCGGAACAGATGCCTCACCCCGAGCAGCTTCGCTTGAATACTTACGATAGCCCCTTGCATCCGCATCAAGAATCTCCGTCCACCCCCCACACGGCCGCCCTATACTCTTACTCAGCTTCCGCCCATCCACTGGATGAACATAGCCGCCCGTCCAGCTCGGCCTATGTCCCCAGTTCCAGGTCCGCAATTGGTCTACCACGAAGTCGACTGGGCCGGTCCAGTCCCGAACCCTTATCCTACAGCCCCGAGTCCTACCCTGAGAGACGCGGTTCGCTGCACGAGTCCCGAGCCTATCGCCAATCGACCCTTTCGTCTATTCGAGGCAGCCGACAACCATCCAGCTCGGATGTGACCGAACGCGCTCGATTCGAGTCCGAGCGGTCCCGTCAAGATGGGACGGAATCCACCTTGTCTACAACTGCGCCTTCCACGGTCTGGGATGAGCTCGAAGATCTCAAGTCCCGAATCAAGAAGCTAGAATTGACCGGGAAGCTGCCGCCCTCGTCCCAGGAAGCGATCTCCTCCGCTTCTGGGGAACGGCCACCAACAGCCACAACGACTATGACTACGGTGTCGTCTTCACCCAGGCGTTCCCACAAGACAAGCACTTTCTCGGGTGAGGCAGAGGGCCCTAGCCCTGTCCATCCGCTACTACAGTCGGCTTTGGTCAATGCGAAGGACGTGCTCAGCAATGAAGTCTACACCGCTTTGGAGGTGACCGCTACCGACGCGCTAGCGCTCTCGACTCTGCTTGGATCCAACAAGGCCCCATCTGGTACCGGATCCGTGGTCAATGGGTATAGCACATCTGATAGGCAGGCAAGACGGAAAGCAGACAGCGTTTGCCGCAGTTTAACCGAGCTGTGCCTTGCTTTATCGGACGAGCAACACCGGAGACAATCGGCCTTAGTCGTCAATGGTAGAGCTGAGGAGGAGGAAAGACATGCGCACGACGACGACACGTTGACCCCGACGCTGCCTTTTCGTCGAAGCACGACTCTCGATTCCGATGGGCTAGTGCGACGACAGAGCACCAAACGTGTAGGTAGCCGTTTAGAGACCCGTCGATCAAGCGTCGCAACTGCCATTCCTTCCCCGGAATCCCAGCACGGCGACCAAAACAACGAACCAGTCTCAGAAGCGAAAGTGACCCACTCACCCAGTTCACCGGCGCCCACTCGGTTGAGTCGACTTTCGACTTCGTTACGGACCAAGCGACACCGGACTGATGATGAGGCCCTTGTTGAACAGACCCCGCAGGTTCGCTCGCCCACAAGAAGTATCGCGGACCTTAGCAGCGCAGCAAACAACTATCGCGTATCGCCACGCCAGCGCATGTCTCATGGATATACTGCGTCCCAGTCCAAGGCTATTGCAACGCCGGATCGCAACCCTAGATTCTCGCTTCAACCTCAACCGTCGCAACTGCCTCAGCCTCGGACGCCTACCCTCTCACAGTCCGCGATTCCTCTGCGCCGGACTTTGATGACTCCAAGTTACACCCCTGCCACTGCGCGCTCGAACATCCAAGCGGGTTATCGCCGGTACGGTGCAGCATCTGGGCTGAGCTCTGCCACTAACACGAGCGATGGATCCATCGAGGAGAGCGTCTTATCTCCACGACCAGAAGCTTCCCAGACTCGAATCATTGCACCCTCGAGCAAATTAGCTACGAGTTACACTCCGATCAGCCAAAACCGAGTTCGAACCAACAGTCTAGGCGCGCGGAAATTTGGGCTTCGACCGCGGTCACTTGCTGTGTCAGATGACGCTATTAACACGTTCGATGACCGAATTGATTAAATACATCCACGACTCTTTTTGCTTCTTCTCTACCTCTCATCTCAAGAAGCCAACGTCGTTCACGCATCCACACCCCCCAAAAACCTATACCATATCACGCAGCGCCTCATTCTTGGTACATGGATTGATTTCAGTTCAGCCGGCGTTTCTCTTATGATTTTGATTTTGACTCTCCCAGGATCGCCATGGAGCATTCTTGGGGACGTCTGTACGAAGTACTACCCACCTGCATTTGCACATGTAACGAGAGACTTCTTCCGATGCACTTACTCCCACTGACTCGACCGATCATCTCCGGCAAACTTTCTGATTGCAAAAATGCCTTGCGTGGCACGATGAGATCTACTATGCATTATACGAATTTACTTGTATCTGTCTGAGCGATTTCCTCTATATGCTCCCTCGTTTCTTTCTTTCGTTCTTTCTTTCTTTCTTTCTCATTATCTTGCCGTCCATTTCTTTGCATGATCTTGGCCAATACTGCACATACATAGACGAGCCTGGAGGGAGTTCGGAGATTTCCACTTCCGGCCTCCGGGATTGGCCATGGTCCAAGCCACCAAAGGACTTGAGATCTCAAGCCCAGCACTCTCCTTTCTTCTTTCGTCGCTATCAGATTCCCTTCTTTCCATTCGTTGAACCCCATCTCATTGTTCCTACAGTCTTACCTATTCCAATATGCTGTGTCCCCTGTCACTCACAGCCCCACCCAGTCATTATCACAGATCCCATGATACAATGTACAGTACTGTATGTATCCAAGTTCCCCCAGGGCCCAGGCATGTTGTTGCTTTTTAGGGAAATGTACAAAAACCCAAGAGATCTTGTCCATAATGTAGGGGTTGATACGGATTACCCTGTAACTTAACTAACAATGAAGTGATGATGATGATGATGATGTTCATCTCATGCTTGGCTTTTGCACTGTTGACTTGCTCAGATTGTCTGAGAAATGCTCCTATTACTTGTGTGGACACCTTGATCGGGAATGATATCTTAGCACCTCTACTACGAGTCGTTGTATATATGCCTATCGGCGGTTGCAGAGCGAGCTGATCGCTTGACGCACTGTATCGTAGCTAGTAGTTATTCACTTGTATGACTTGTGAAATGACCTTCCTTGGGTATCTTTCTATCAACCACACAAGCACACAGTCTATCAATAAAGCGATGGTGAATGCAGGCTATTGACTTCTACTATAACGGTATACGATATTTGAAGGTGGATCCACACAATGGATGAGAAGATTGGGGGATTCATATTGTTCTGTTTCCCATCAAAAAATTTGAGCTTTCAAAGTCCTGGTATACAGATTTGGGGATGATTCCATTGAGCCGCGCGGAAGGGGAATTCCCAGCATAGGTTGCAGGAAGGAATGACCATACAAGGCATTGGAGGTGTCAAGTGGCCAAATGCTTGATGTATGGAAGCTCGGGTATGATAGGGAGAAAGAGAGAGAGAGAGTTGCAAAGTAAGATAAAGTAAGCAGGAGCAAGCGGGCGAATGAGGGAAGAGGGACGATACATCACAGTTTGGGGTTAAGGTTTGGTTGGTTTTATGTTAAGGAGGTGTGGGGGGAGGAAGGGTGACTTTTGCGGAAAGCAGAGAGATTCGCAAGGATGTTGATGGTTACAGGAGGAAGGGATTAGATCAACATGCTGACGTCCCCTCCAGAGGAAAGGGCAACGAAGCAAATAGAAGCACAGAGGCACGAAATTATCATGTAACGGATCGAACATCAACATCAGCTGCGGGGCATAACGTCGGCAGTAGTTCTTCCGATTTCGGATTCATTTCCTCTTTCTTCAAGTCAAAGCGATCATGGAGGATCACATAATACTGGTATCTGACAGGCATGCATGGTCCACCTTAGCAACGTTCTTGCTTCTTGTAAAACCAAGGAAGCCGCACATATGAGATTATAAGGTAAAACAGATAGGACCATATGAGAGAAAAAAAAAGACAGCGTCAAGAATCAAAGTGGTTAGCACAAGCGAGAGGGAGACATCGCGCGATTATGTTCTCTGGGAGGAAGCGCATAAGGATTCGGGTGGTAGCAATGTGGCGCGAGATTTGTGCTTAAGGGTTGTCTGATGATAGGACTTTACTCCTGAGGAAGCTGGCTGCGGCGAGTCTTCTCGGCCTCGAGGTTCTCGTACAAAAGATAGAGAGCCTTCTCGTTGGCCTGGGCGCTGCCCATGATGGTGAACATGCGCTCGCCCGTCTCATCGTGAGGAGCCTTGGCAATAGAGATCCGAGCTCCAGAGCTTCTACGGATCTCAGTGATCTTGCTTCCGCCCCTGCCAATGATGCATCCAACCATGTCGGCGGGGATGCTGATGTTCTGGGTCTGAATCTCCTCGCCGTCTTCGGTGACGAGAGGGTAGCCGCGGTTGCTGGTATCGGGGTTGGATCTTCTGCTGTAGCTGCCGGACTGGTCGCTGAAGTCGGCACCGTTGCCGGTGCGGTTGTAGGGGCGGCTGCTGTAACCATTGCCAGTGTTCTGGTTGCTGGCAGAGCTGCTAGTACCGCCGACCGAGGAGCGAACAGCAGGATTGTACAAAATAGTGCCGGTGCCGCGTTGCCAATCGTCGATGAGGCACTTTCCAATTTCCCAAATAGCCTTCTCAATGCCCTCGGGGGTGCCCTGGACCTCAACGATGCGCTCAGTGGACTGAGGCAGCATTTCCTTCTGCGCAACCATGCGCACGCCGGACGCGTCCTGGATGTGCTTGATCTTGAGACCTTGGCGTCCAATGATGGTACCCATCTGGTTGTGGGAGATCAAGAGACGGACGGCTAAGGATATTTTAGCCATTTGATAGACCAAACGATAAACTCAAGTGCGCGGGGTTCACTTACGGTGGGTGCCATTGTTGGACACGACGCCTCCCATGCCCATCTGCGGGGCGCCCTCAAGCAGACCCTTGGCGACCAAAGCATAGGCCCGAGCAGTGCCGTGCAGGGGACCAGTGACGGTCAAGACGCGATCGTGAACTCCAGGAACAACCTTGCTCACACCAGCCTTCACACCGGTTTCGTCACGCAGGTCAGCAACATTCTTGCCGGCTTTACCGATGATGATACCGGCTTCTTTGGAGGAGACGATGGCGCGGAGAGTCAGCGTGGACTGGGCGTATTCCTCTTCGGTCTTGGGGATGATTTCAATGTCACCCTCATCCATCATGTCAACGGCGTCAGCCATGTTCTCATCAACCATGGGGTTCTCGTGCAAGTCGGAGGCGTCCATGATGTCAGGAAAGTAGAAGGTCGAGTAAGAAATTGAGGAAAAGGTGATGATCGAAGGATATAATCTCTCGAAAGAAGAACTTCACCTATAGAGTCAGCTTCACATTGCCCAAGGAGAAGCGGAGGGATGACCGTGGTTTTCATAACGATCTGACTAGGTAGCGAAGTGACGGGCGAGGAAAACCCGACCTTGCGCCCGATGGATCGAAGGCGGCCGAGGGTCTTACCTGGAAAATCAAAGAAGATAAAGGCGGGCGATAAAGCGGATATAATCCGTAGAAGAGAAATCGAAGGAGGGGGGGGGTGTGGTGAAGAGGGGTGACGAGATCGATCCTGAGGGGTTTTCGGCGGGCGGGGGAAAAGGTGGAGGATGGGTGAAACGGGAGGGGGATAGAGGAGGACGAAAGAACAAAGAGAGGTAGCGGGAAGGAGGAAGAAGAGGGATAGAAGAATCAGGGGAGAGGGAGAAGAAGATGGAGAGAGAGAGAGAGGAGGGAGAAGAGGCGGGAGGGAGGGGATACGGAAAAGAAGAGGAGGAGAAGAAGAAGTGGTGGTAGCGAGAATAGAGGAAAGGTGGAAGAGGAAGAGAAGAGGAAGAAGGAGGAGGAAGAGGAAGAGGAAGAGGAAGAGGAAGAGGGGAGGGAGTTAGGAAGAGAAGGAGCGAGCAGCAAACAGACGGACAGAGAGGCGCAGAAAGGCAGGAGGAGGAAAGAAAGAGCTTGGAGAGAGAATAATGTTCACAAAGCGGGTAGGCAGGCGGCGCTGGCTGGCTGGCTGGCTAACTGGCAAAGTGACTTTTTAACTAGCACCTACCCGCTTCACTTACTTCACTTCACATTATCACTCCTCCTCCGCTTCCTCCACATTCTCCCATTCCCATTCCCTTTCCCCTCCTCCTCCTCCTCCTCACTCTTCAATTTTCCCTCACTTTCAGGTGTCTTTTTGTTTCTCCTCACGTCCCAATTGCTGAGTTGCAAATGTCTCTCAGACGACTCGATGGTGGCGATGGTGGTGGTGCCACTGCTTGTTTTCGTTTTCACTTGTACTACTCTCGGGACTGTGATTACTACGACTACATCTCCCCCTCGTGCACAGTCAATCGCTTCGGCTTTCTAAGGGATTGTCTGAGAGCTCTTGACAGCAGATCTTCCGTGCATTGAATGCGATGCAGATAGACTACTTATCGACCTCAAAGATGACCTTCTGTACCTTCATCGCATTGAAGAGCTCATAGGCCTCAACGGCCTGTGAAAGAGGCATGATCTTGTCCGCCATAAACCTAGATATACTAGTCAGCCAAACCGCTGCAAGGTCTGGGAATGAACAAACGACGCGACACGTACCCAAGAAGATGCTGGTTCTTCTTTAAAACTTGCAGGGCTTGCTCGGAAACCGAACGCACAGGGCATCGTCCCATGTGGACCGTCAGGTTCTTGCCGTAAGCCTCACTACCAGTCCATGGAATCTACACACAGATGCGAGTCAGCTTTTACCGACAGGACAAAGACCACTGGGAAACTTACCTCGCCATTGTGCACGCCAACACTGCTGATGGTACCAAACGGCCGCAGCAGATCGAATCCGGTCCTCAATGCCGGACTCAAGCCCACGACCTCGATGACCGCGTCTGCGCCGCGCCCATCCGTCAACTCTTGGACGCGCTTGTCCAGACCGTCCCGGTCGGTCTGGAAATTCCAGGGCTCGGCCCCGAGCGACTTTGCTAATTCAAGTCGCGCGGGAATCGAGTCCACCGCCAGTAGATGCTTAGGCTTGTACTCGAGCGCATTGATCAGAGCACAAAGTCCGACTGGCCCGCAGCCGATGAGGACGACCGTCTGCTCTGCAATTTGCTCTGGGGTGGATGCCTTGAACGCATTGCGCGCCGCAAAGTAACCCGTAGGGAAAATATCGGCCATAAGCACCAGAAGCTTGTCATCAACACCTTCGGGGGCCTTGACCACTGTGCCATCTGCATTGGGAATTCTGATCTGTTCCGACAAGTTCAGCCTCTTCATCGCTGGGGATGAACTGACCCTCCGCCCTCAGATCTGCAGAATCTACTCACATATTCAGCCTGAGCGCCGTCGAGGTTATCGCATCCCAGCAGGACATTCTGCTCACAACGCGAAGAGTGTCCCTGAGTGCAGTACCAGCATTTGCCGCTGACCAACCCATGAATAAGCATAAAGATCGAGTTCCCCGCTCCATAGCCACTCCTTGAGACCAACTCATCCGTCCTCCTCTCAAATACATTCCGCAACTCCTCCTCTGGCCCCAGTAAACCACTACCACCACTACTACCAGAACAACACTAGCAGCACCCAATGGAAGAGGATCACTCACCAAGACGTGGTAAAAGCGCTCACAACCGAATCTCCCTTCTTGACGGAGCGCACCTCATCCCCAACCTCAACAACCACTCCAGTAACCTCATGTCCCATCACAACCCCTTCCCCATTCGGCTCAATTCCCCGGTACACATGAAGATCACTAAAGGAAAGCACTCATCAGGAAAGGCTCGAGATCCTCTCATAACGACCCCAATCCATGAAACTATACCCCGCGCCTAACCCCATAATCAACAATACCCCTCCCCTCCAACCAGCCTCCAGCCCACGAAAACACGAAAGTAAAAAAAAAAAAAGAAACTCACCTCCCACAAAGCGCCGTATACTTCACCTTAACCACCACATCCCTCGCGTCCTGTATCCGGGGTACCGGCCGTTCCTCCACCGCGACCTTGTAAGGGCCGCGGAAAGCCACCACGCGCATGCTCTGTTGTTGTTCGCCGGACATCTCTGGCAGGTTTGCGATTTCGATGCTGAAATTCTATGTTGCAATCTGCTTCCCCAAACACAAAATGAAAGATTCTGGCGTCGCGGATTGGGAAATGATATAGAGAAGAAAAAGGAAAAAAAAGAGAGGGCTTGGAAAAAGATTTCCCTTTCCCCTAACGTGAACGTGCCCAAAGAATGCCCACCCACTCCGATAGCCGGCGCGGGCGCGGTAAATGCGGCCGCGGGTTGCCCCTCCCCCTCCCCCCTCTTGATGATGCTTGGGTGGGTCCATTTTTTTCGTACGTAAGGCATCGACGACTTTGGGGGGGATAGTCATGAGGGGTAATGCCGAGTGAGGAGCTGGAAGGTGCCAGCTATTAAAGTAATTGTTTTGGCTCTGTGGTGTATGATTAGGGTGTGCGGAGGTTTATGGTGAGGTGGAGGGATTTACTGGGAGACTGTAGATGTGGATGCGAGGTAGGCATATTATTGGGGTCATACTCTGGCGGGTGCGGACGTAGATATACTACTCAAAATGTCGAGGCGATCTCCCCGGGTCCTCGAACCTCAACAACCTAGTGCAGATCATGCAGGCTGTAGTACACTACAAGGCGAGCTGGAAATGCCTGCCAAATTTTGTCATGATGACTCAAAATGCGACCGTCGAAAATGAAAGAAGACACTCTATGACCTCCAGACCACATTACATGGAGGTAAAAATAACGCAGCCACCAGCCTATAAGAGCAGCCAAGCTCCGCACATTCAAACTACTAGCTCATGCACCACTTGACCATCCATTCGAGTCATGAACTGTTTGTTATAAGTGTCGGGAGAAACCCTCGAGGGTGGGAATCAACTGGAATACCGCCAAGCCAAAGTCAAAGTGTTTGTTTGCTCCATTAGAACGCCGTCATATCGCTCAAAGAATAACCAAGATAGTAATAAACAATCGCTCACTGAACGAACCAGTCTTCAGCTCTCAACCCACAGAGGCGCAATGGGGCCCCATTTTAGAGACATGCACAACCTCAAGGCCATGTGTGCATGTGGCTTTGTCGGTTGAGTCTCTCCGTGGCCACCACCGTTGGGATCAAGAGACCTCAGCACACAACGCACAGGAGCTCCTCCTCTAGAATGAATTTCCCCTCCTTGTATTTCTCGCTCGTCTCGTAGGCCTTGTCGTATTTCCAACCGACCGTCTCCTTGCACTGTCGACAGGCGATATCGCGAACAATATGTCTTCCGGTGGTCATGCTCCGCTCCACGGCCTCGGTCTGGGTGACGTTCACGACGTTGTTGAAGAGGTATGCCTTGCCATGCTGGCCGCGGAAATTCTGCAAGGTTAAAGAGAGACGATGGTCAGCTGCTGCTGCTGCACTCAAAGAGATGGAAAGCAACGCTAAGAGATCGAACACACATACTCGACTGATGATGTCGTCGTAGTCGGCCAGGTGGGTTTTGCATTGCTTACACCCAAAGATCTTGTTGGAGGTCAGGTAAACGTTGTATATGAGACCCATGGTGTCGTATCCCGTGACTGCCTGCCCACACTGCCCCCGGTGCTATTTAGGTGCTGTAGTGTCACAGATTTGCAAAGGTGCAGAATCACGTTCGAGGGGATATAAAGCCAGAGATGCAAGTCGGGAAGTGAACAAATGGTTCTGTTAGTAAGTCTTGAGCCTTGGAATTGAGTCCTAGCCTTTCCCCCCTATGCAGATACGGTTGGCTTGGTTGTCTTATCGTGCGTGCACAAACAAAGGTTAATCTCGGTCGAGGATGTGATGGGATTTTCGACTATTGTGTCAGAAGACTAGGGCAAGAGAACTCGAAAGGGAGATAATTCTCAGGTAAATTTGCAGGGAGACGACTGTTTCTCCTGGTCTGGGCGTGGAGTGGTTGTGGTGATGATAAGCAGCTGCGGTGGAAAGGACCTCGGAATAAGCGGAGGTGCAGCCCAGACCAACGGGCTTAATTATGGTTTAGTTGTGGCACTTGGTTGATCAGGAAATCCGAGCAAGTGGACGAGAGTGGATTTTGAAACAGAGTCAGTCGAGAGATAGATCACTTCTTGCCTTCCTGCAGCCAGGGGACAAACGGGATGAGGGGAAGGGGGGATTGGGGGAATGGGGGAATGGGGGACAAAGATGAGATGAATGAGCCGGGAGGTGGAGTGGAGGCTACCGACTGTCTACCTAGTAAGTTAGTTGGTTAGTTAGTTACTGTACGCTGTACTTAGTAACTTCAGGCAGCTGCTCCCCGTCGGAGTTGAGGAAACGCCCCCGCATCTGGCCAAGTTTGGGAAGAGACCAGCCCCCGTGACGCAGTGATCGATTCATCTTGTGTAAAAGCCTACTAGTCACTCGTAAGTACGTCTCGGGCATGATCTCAGCCGCAAGTAATGACAGGTACAATGGATTCCCTCAATAGGTTGGCTCATCACCCGACACTACGTTTTGCTGATCGATACATGACCCCGCTTCGGATTGAGCTTATCATTGTTATCGCTTTGCTTTATTGTTACTGACGATAAGTCAACATTTGCCATCTGTACAAGCACCTGTACAAGCACCTGTACAACGCCACAATCATATTCTAATTCTAAGCATCGTCCGTCCAGCATAAGGACAAATAGCATAAAATAGGTATACTACTTCAACTCTGAAGCACACGTCTTCCACATCAATACAGCAACTGCAGACACGCGCACTCCCCATTCCATGTCTCATGACGTGATCGGTAGGATGCCCGACCTTTCATTCGTAGTCATGCACGCACTCTATCCTTGAAGAAAGTTGCGATGTATTACCTATCTATACCTTCAACTTGCACACAGACCTGTCTAAGTATCAAACGCCATTAGTGCGGCTGAGCAGCCAATCGCATTGGTCATTATCCACCCCGGGCCCTGTTTCCAGCTACCTAGTATCGTGCGTATTTATACATTCATCGTTGACCAAGTAGAGTCTTGTTATTTTCCCAGAACTGCCGGCAGTCGGTGTGACCCCAGTGTTCGGTCCACCACTCGCCGAAGCTATCCTCCACATTTTCGTCGAGTTTGGGCAACCGCTCATCTCGTTTTAATCCGCAGAGAGCACAGGCATGTGATGCTTTGAGTGCGCCGCGGTCGGCACCAAGCGTCATCGCCCGCACGTTCTCCTGAATGATAGGAACTGTTCGATTTCCGGAAGCCTGGATGATAGAGTTGAAAAGTGCCGCCCTGTCACGCCACATGGTGAGCACATCCACAGCCTGTTGTTGCTCTTTGACATCCTCATTCTTGTTAACCGTGCTGAGCTTCATACCCCCAGGCTTGCCTGCCGGGCCAATGCGCATGCTCTGGCTTAGAATCTTGTCTCTTTTCCATCGTAAGGTACGGCCCGCAACCACTCGAGCGGCAGTCCTCAGCGTAATCTGAATTGACCACGCTGCACGTTCGACTTTATCTCTGTGCTGCATGTTCTTCCTTGCCTCCGTGGCCTCATGTCGGAGTTGCTCGAGCACCTGAGGGAACAGCTCCAGCAATACTGATGGCGGTGGTATGTTGGTTGGACGGACTTGATCTGCCGTAGTTGTGGAGCTGGGGACTGCAAACTTCAAACCGGAGTTCGTAGCGCTAGTTGTAGTGTGCAATGGATTTGTTCTGCTCAAAGCAGATCCATGCTGTGTCCTCGAAGCTGGTGCCTTTCGGTCCGGTGCCTGACTCTGTGCTGTAGCTGGCCCGTCGACAAAGTCACCCCAATCTTCGAAAGGGTCATCTTCAGTGGACAGTGACGGTGTCAGACGCGGCGGTTCCTTGCGAATCTTCTGAGCGTTGCCTTGCTGTCGTATGGCAACGGTCTGTTTAGCAGACACTGACGGCACACTTTGAATCGAGGGTGAGTCTAGAAGATTGAAGGGCTCTTGCACCTTGACCGGGCGTACGGCGGACAGCGTGCTTATGGATTTCGGCTCTTCTACGGGCGCTCGTTGTGGAGGCACATCTGCAGTTTCGAACTCGCCCCAATCATCGCTTTCATCGTATGCAGTCTCAAGAGTGGCATCGAAAAGGACGTCGTTACCACTATCATGCTGTACCGGTCCCGATGCAAATGACTTGTCCCAAGATGAGCTTTGCCATTGGGTGCCTGCTGCAGCGGACTGGCTCGCTTGGTTCGAGAATGATGTTGAGGACGTCTCGCCAAAGAAGTCCAGGTCAGGGACTAGAGATGAAGATTGATGTCTCGCGGGTCGCTGACTCGTAGAATTCGCAGGCTGGCTGGAATTGGTATTGACACCAAATTCTGCAAACAGGTCCGCGGACATGGATGGCTGGCTGTGTGAGGATTGTTTTGGTTTGATTCACCGAATAGCTCTCGGGGCAATGCAGTTGCCACTAGATGGAATGGACTGCTAAACCAAAAGGACTAAAAGACAAATGCCAACAGAGCGATCAATAGAACAGACCATACAACAGTCCCTTCGAAGTAGAAATAATCTGCACGTAGTCAGGTCAGCCTTTTGTCACGCTATGTAGTGATCGAACTATACCTGGCGCATAGATAAGGGCGGCGTGGCCGGGACGGAGAGTGATGTTGCAGTTGCACCCAAGGAAAAACAAATCCTCTTTGGCGGGTCCAACCCTCCGCGGCTACGGACAACTGCCCGCAACCTCAACCGCTGGACCAGCATTTGTTTGTGCCTTTGATGCGCGTCAATCTGCAGCTTTTGTGAACACCGATCTGCGAAGAGCCATATGGTGAAATGAGGGGAATCGAGGAAACAAGGTATGGCCAATTGTTTACGCATGCCCACCCTCTGGAGGAGATCTCCCAGCTCAAGAATGGTCAGGCAGCGATGGGATACCCTGTTTTGCGACAATGACACCACCGCCGGCTTTCGGAACGCCCTTAGATTGGAGCAAGACGACAAACTGTGCAACGATGGGCTGAGATCGATCTGTTGGAAGGCATGCGCCTGCTACTGCTATATTGTAATTTCTGTCGCTTACCTTGGGGATGTAGGCCTTCCTGCTTTTCGACGATCTGGATCGGGCACAGTGGCCGCAGAAGCTCTCGGATTCACGAACCGCCTACGTCGCTTTGAAGGCCCATTTCCTGAAATATATAGATCACCCGGACGATTTGGAATCGACCGTTGATCCGCTGGCGGATGATGTGGAGGTACTTACCACTATATTGTCGTGGCCCTTGAGATCGCGGTGAACTGACACGATATTGATTACATAGTCCCCATGGCAAACTCTACGGAACGATGAGCAGACAAGAGCGGATATCTCGCAGGATGTGGATCGGTGTTTACAGGAGAACTTCTTCTTCCGGGAGCCTACCACCAAAGCGAAGATGATCGATATACTATTCATTTATGCGAAACTCAACCCAGACCTAGGCTATCGGCAAGGCATGCATGAGATATTGGCGCCTCTTCTGTGGGTGGTGGACCGGGATGCGATCGAGACGAACCCACTCGAAGATACCAGGGAAACGAAACCGGGTGATAACGCGATGCTTCAACTTCTCGATGCCAACTATGTGGAGCATGATTCGTTTGCGCTGTTCTGCTCAGTGATGCAGAATGTCCGCGTGTATTACGAGCACAATAGGACTCGATCGGCCAATGGTCAGTTGGACGTTATTCCAATTGTGCATCAGTGCCAGCGCCTCCACAATGAACTCCTGGTCACGGCAGATCTCGAGCTTGCGGATCACTTGCAGGCACTAGAGATATTACCACAGATCTTTTTGACGTAAGTCATGCATCTATTCGAATGGGGAGCGCAAAACTGATATGATGTGAAGTCGCTGGATGCGTCTTCTCTTCGGGCGCGAATTCGCTTTTCAAGACGTTCTTCAAATCTGGGATCTACTCTTTGCAGAAGGACTACGCCCAGAGCTCATTGAATATGTTTGCGTTGCAATGCTGTTGCGGATCCGTTGGCAGCGTGAGAATCCCTTCCCCTTGCGAAATGATACAATGATGCTCCTTACTCCCGATTGGTGATGAGTGCTGCGAGTCCATGTGCTGATAGTTTCCAGTACTGAGCGCTGATTCCTCAAGCGCTTTGAGTATCTTGCTGCGCTATCCAGCCCCCGACCCCCATTCACCGCTGACCTTTGTTTACGACGGGATATATCTGGAGCAAAACCCCACCCCAGAGAGAGGTTTATTCATCATCTCGAAGTATTCCGGTAGACCGCCGGATCTGTCGAGAGGACTTGGACAACCAAGTGCCAAACCCTCAAAAGGGAAGTTTCGCCTGCGAAGTGCATCTAGGGATCTGAGTGAGGTCAGCTCTCCTTCCAGGTCACCCGCAAGAAATAGTCCGAAGAGCCTCGAAGCGCTATTCCAGGACGTATCGGAGGGTATTCAGCGCCGAACAGAGGCCTGGGGTGTCGCCAAAGCCGTTCGAGGCGCAGTGAGCGAAGCGAAACGAAACATGCAGTCTATTCAGTCGGAACATCAGCATCGCGGGACACGATACGAGAACCAAAGCCAGGGATTGGGCACTCCTTGGGATCGTGCTTCCGATGATACATCCAAGTTGAAAGCGAAGATCGAGGAATTGGAGGGGCGGAATAGAGAACTCGCCAAGTTGCTAAGTGTGGCGCTGAAGGACATACGCTCTCATGTCAACAAAGCCGAGAATATGGACAGCAGTGACAAGGACGCTCTGGCGCAGGCTCTCAATAAGGTTCAAAGCATCCAAAGCTGTCTGGAAGACCACAACATCCCCTTAAGCGCTGCCGATCAATCCCCGAGCGAGCATAGTAATGCCGAATCCGAGACGCCCCCTGAAGCTGCTGAAGCTCCCAGTGACAGCGCAAAAATTGCAAACGATGGGGCAGATCGCGCCTCCACTTTTACCCACCGGACCAGCACATCTGCCGAGTCACCCAGATCTCCCATTGGCGTTGGGACGAAGGTCAACCGCAGTACCGCCACCAGCCCACAGTTTCCCACTTCCATGCCCCTCCGACATGTATCTCGGCCATCGTTGGCAGACTCGGAATTCTCATGGATGCTCGGCGGCAAGCGACATCTCTCGAGCTTTGTCAGCCCGGCATCTGTACTTCCGGAGCAGACTCGTCACGGAGAAGGTCGCCCACGGTCTAAACCAGCTTCCCTCTTTGGCAATGGGGACGAAGAGCATGGCAAACCCGGCGCCGAGATCGAGTCGGATGGTCTGGCCCTGCGAAGTCTCCGTGGACCTAAACCATGAGAGACCCGACGGTGCACGCGGCAATCTAAACCGGTGTTACATTAAGCAATGGACATTTAGCGGTGAATTACTTCGTCTGTAATGGCTTTTTATCCCTTCAACGTATGTATTTACCATCAGAGGAGGAAGTGGCACGTGGGATTTACATGCTGTTCGGGCCTCGCGCAATCATAGAGTGGTTTGGAAGGTGTTTCGCCACCCTAAAATCACCAGTTATGCGCTGAGCACGAGCCTTGCTGCTGGGGCAAGATTTGACTCGACTGACATACTATGTACCAGCTGGGTCTGGTAGGCATGGCTAAATTACTCTGCACTCAGGTACAGTATCTGACGTACCTGATTTTGGATCAGTGGCTATTTACAAATCGACCCCTAGGCGCTTGTCCGTTCTCAATTCCCGAGGCCTAGGGAGAAACCTGTACGAGTCATACCTGCAAGAAGGACACAAGAAAATGCAGCGATCTTAGAACAGCAAATGCGAGCTGGGATTGACCATGCCCAGTGACGCTGGTGGATCTGCAATTTCCAGCCTGGTGGCCCAATCAATCTCGATTTCGGATAGCTGGTCGTGATCTACAGACCACGGACTACAGTTGAGAGAGTCGGAGCATCCATGGGCCATGGAGGGGACAGCTATTTCGGTTAGTCAGCCAAGCCTCTCCCAAGCATTTCACATCTTAGTTAGAGTCGGACTTGAGATGGATGGATGAAATGAATGGGCATTTTGAGGGAGGGGAGGCAGAGGAGGGGTAGGAGAGGAATCGTGCGATGACAGATCGATGGGCATTGTGGAGCATAGGTACTGTGTGCTTCTTTCTACGCTGGGTTGATTCATTGCTATTTTCCTCCAGCGAACTTGTGAACTACTCATAATTACATCACCATCAGCAGCATGAAGCTTGAGCACTGCATTGTCTTTCCTTAGCCGTATTAGGCTCAAGAAAGGGGAAGGAGGGGGGGGGTGGGAGAGGGGTCTTCAATTGAGAGGGACTGCATTAGCGTATCGGTTGAACCCATTGGGGTCCGCCATGCGCCCGTTCTTACCACTGGGTATGTATGAGTACTCGAAGCTAAGGTAGCTAAAAGTACGGAACTCCAGAGATCCCGGAGGAGAGGGGCGACCGTGCCATATCATTCCCGCCCAACTTGTCCCCTCATTGTAATTTATTCGCATTCAATGGCCTTGTTTTCTTCTCTTCAGCTCCATTGCAGCTTGAGGAGGTCACCTACTTGAGTAAGTAAGCTATCACCGGGTCGGGATTGAGCGATAATCCATCCCCTCGTGTTTCAAGGCCACGAAAGGACCAGATGGAGGGTTTCAGAAGAAATGGGAAACCCAAACGATTCCTATAAAAGGAAATGAAGTAAGAGGATCAATCCCCAGGGAAAAAAAGCACCGAAGTCAGAAGAACCGGAACTGGAATAGGTCTTCTGCTAAGTTTCCCCGGACGTCATTCATCATTCCTCCAGTACTCCGTAACTACCGTACTCATAGACACACACCGACCGCATCGTCAACCACAAGTGAACTAACTAACCTCTCTTAACAACAATAGCTTCAATTCAAGCAAGCCAGCAAGCCCGCAAGCTGCCTTTCTTGTCTCCACTATTATATTACCCACCTTTCTCTCTCTCTTCCTCCCTCTTCTTTCCTTCCCTTTTCCCTAATCCGCTCACTGCACCACCTCCCTCACTTTATGGGGGCATAGTTAATAGTATCGTTAGTTTCTTCTCCCGCCCTTCTCCCAAATTTCCTTTTTCCTTCGAATCTCCCTCTCTGCCTCTCCGAAGAACCCACATTTGGGGGCGTGACTATTTCCTTTCCGTCCCTTGGCTGGTTGGCGGTGCCCATTAACTTATTATTATCATTCTTCCTGCGTTCCCACTCACTCACTCAAGAGGTTCACCTCCTGAAACCCCACAGGCCATTTATTGGCCTTCTTTTCTAGCTTAATTGACTACAAAACACCACCACTAAGTTACTACTACTACTAACTTACCACCACCACCACCACCGAGACAAACCGACATACTTACATCCTTCCTTCTCTTCCCTCTCCCCTTCCCTCCCCTCCCCCTCTTCTCCCCCTCTCTTTTACCTCACTCTTCTTCTTCCCCGCGTGCACGCCCTCGTTCGCCATCCTCGTTCGCAGGTGTATGGTACCTGTGACCTCACGAGGCAGCTGCCCTCTTGACCTTCCGCCCGCAGTCCGCTGACAATTTTTTCTGACCTCCTCACCTTCCTTTTAAACCACCCCTTACCAATTCATTCTACTGCAGCAACAACTGATCGAATTGCTGCATAGTCCTTCACCCGATTGCACTCAAGGC